TCACAGAGTATTCAACAACCGAACCCCAAGGAAAGAAACTACTATCACAACAAACCTCCGACTCACTCTTACCAAGGAAGAGACTAACCAAGGGAACACATTCTAAACGACAACACCTTAGGTATGCAAGCCTCAACAAACCAAACCTCCCCCGAAACAACTCATCAATAACCGACTGGTGCTTCAAGCTAAGTCACTAGGAAAATACACTCTCCCATGCAACTTATAACAAAAAGGGCGAATATGACCATGCATACCACAATGATGACAAATAAAAACAGGGTGTACCTTTTTTTCTTTTACCTTACCAACTCTAGGAAGTTTGAGAAGTCCATCCTTATGTTGAATTTTTGTTCTCCCTTTCCTTGAGTTCTTGTATCATGAGATGTAGATGCACTCTGTTTCTGCTTTCTGTTATCACCAAAGCCAATGCTACTATTGTCAGAACAAATTTGTTGAGACCCAATGATATTGTCCAAAGTCTTTGATCCTTTGTTCCAAAGACCAATGGTAGCCATAGCACACTTGAGTTCTTCCTCTTTCTTGATGATTAGCTCCTCCAAGGCAACTTGAGACATCTTGAGACTTTCAATCTTTTCTTCATATGTTGCAAAGATTTGTTGTAGCTCATCCCTCTCTGCCTCACAAGTCAAGATTTTCCACAAAGGACTTGTCGATCATTAGATATCTTGATGGCATCAATCTTAGCCTCGGAAATCTGCTCCTTTAGTTTGACATTCTCACTTTCACATGTTTTGAGTTTCATAGTGAGTTTGTCATTTAATTTGGATAAGTTAAGAGATTCCTTATACAACTTTTCATAAGCTTGCTCAAGCTCTTCATCATCACTCTCTGAGGATTCACCATCAGTGGCATTCTCAATCGGTATCTTCGGATACTCTGTTCGTCTTTCAATTTCAGAAGCCGCCATGAAAGCAAGGAATTGCTTATGTCCCTCTTTGCCTTGATTTTCGTTGTCACTTTCATCTTCATTAGATTCTGATTCATCATCCCAAATGATGGCGAGGGCTTTCTTCTTCTTCAAACGAGTGGGGCATTCTGAAGCAAAGTGGCCAAATCCTTGGTATTCATGGCATTGGACTCTTTCAGAGTTTCCTTGTATCTTTCCTTTCTCCTTCTTGGCTATAGAATTAATTTTGAGTTTATATTTACCTTTGGATTTATGAGTATGAGTAGAGTCCAAAAGATTAGGATTCTTTTTCAAAAAAGATTTTTTAAATTGTTTTACAAAAGCATCCGTAATCTTGAAATCTATCTCACAGTCTTCATCAAAATCTTCTCCAACTCTATGAGCACTACTATAAGCAACAGTATCTTTTTGTTTCTTTTTGAAATTTCTATGTGCCTTATAAGTTTGGAGATTTCCAACCAAGTGATCCAGCTTGAGGTTGTCAACATCTTGAGCCCCCTCAATAGCCGTAACTTTTGGTTGGAACCGATCGGGCAAGGATCTCAAAATTTTACCCACAACTTTGGATTCTGGTATTTTTTTTACCTAAATTGAAGCTGGAATTTACAATGTCACTCAACTTCGCATAAAATTCATCAAAGGTCTCATTATCTTTCATTAAAAGGTTTTCGAAACTAGATGTGAGCCTTTGAAGTTTTGAGCGTTTCATAGAAGAAGTGCCCTCATGAATAGTTTGTAAGATATCCCAAGCCTCTTTTGCGATTTCACAATTACAGATACGACTAAACTCTTCAGGCGTGACAACGCAAAAAAAGAGAATTGATAGCTTTACTATTCCAGCTACTATTTTGGTAATCAATTATGTCCCACTTATCAATTGGTTTGGGGAAAGTTACTCCATCAACGGTAATCGTTGGTTTAGTCCACCCATACATGACAGATTGCCAAACTTTTTCATCAAT